CACACGATACGATACCGTAAAACTTTATCTTTATAGTCACAACGGTATAAATACAGCTATGAGATATAGATCCTTAAATACACTTCACAAATATAATTAATACATAGTTGGAACAGAAATTGCTTAAGTTTTAAAAATACAAGATGCTAAAAGTTATTATAAAAGTGATTCAAAACCTAATATTGCAAGGATTACTGAGTTGTGATGGAAAGGCAAGATATACTGTACATTATTATGGCTTATCTAAAACAGCATATTAAAAAGTCTGCTGCTGATGGAATGAATGAACTGTTAAACCGCTTAGTCTTAAATTTAGGGTGAATTAATTCACCAGATTTACTGACAGTAATAGCATCATGGACCGGGTGGGTAACTTCAGACATTATGCATTGTAATTTCTTAAATATTAACATGTCATTACATAAACATTCAAATTGTTTAACATCTCAGTAGGCCATTAGCTTGTTTGATAATCTTATTAATTATTATAATATCATAATATAATAAGCCTATAAATGAATAGAATAATAATTTGTTAATTTGGAACTACAGAAAGTGGTCTTTAATTGGAGGGTCTTTAATTACAGGGAAACCTGTAGGCCTAAGTAATTCAGAGATCCGTAGTACAATTTAGAGTTCCTATAGGAACTCTATTCGACCTTGTCGACTACAAAGAGTATGATTTAGATTTAGATTATGATTATATTACCAGCGCCCTCTATATCATCGTCCTTCCAATATGGCGTCGCTGCTCCGACAATTCAAGAATCTTTCGCCATGTATCGGGCAAAGGCTGCTAAAGTCTACCGTGTTAAATATTGCGCCAGTAGTTACATCAAAGAGGTGTGTGTGTTCAGCAGGCGTACATATCATCTACAAATTTAGTTTATATTAAGCTTCGTCTGAAATTACTTTATGCTTTCAAAATTAATGTGGGTCAGTGCGGCGTCGCCTTTCTATATTCCTATTCTAACCGCTGGCTGGTCACCTAGCCGAGACTTTTTTAGGCCTAGGGCCTATCCACAGGATTAGCAAGAGCTTCCACAACATTTTTTTTTGGCAGCACTGAAGGATGACACATTTTAACAAATTTAATACTACTAGGCCTACATTTTACTAGTATATTACTACCTTACATAGCCTAAGTATTAATAGAACCATAATTTAAAATTATAAATATATTGAATTTGAGTCAACTCGGCCACAACAAGAAGTCTTGGCAAGGCCTTCACGTTCATCTGCCCCCAGATCAACTCCCCCTCATCAACTCGCTCCCACTTCGACTTTCCCCCTTGTCAGCTCGTCCCCAAGAATATCGTTTTTGCTCATTTTTTAAAATTATATTTCCTTTAATATATTAACAAAATTCAGGTATTAATCAAAATGTTAAGACATAATTCCGGAGAGTGAACTGAATGAATAAAATGAGTCTCCTAACATTCAAACAACACTAAAAATGCAAAAACGCAATAAATAAGTATTGTTTTCAAATACATAATAATATGTTGCATTTATTCTTTTTGCAGAGGGGCTAAACAGTGGCAGCCTGAGCCTGAGGATGTTGAGTGTTTCTCAAGAGCTGTTATGTACCCTGATGAAATCACCTCCAAGTGGGCTGCTCCTCCTTGGGACGGTAATAAAGAATCTCATGTTTATTGATATTAATAACAGCATTGTTGAAATATATTTTATATGCTGAGGTCAATGACTAGAGGTCAGGGTGAGGTTCAGTGATAATTTTTGTGAAATGTTTTATATAAAAACTAAATATTGTAATAATCGTTTCATCATTTTTCTTATTATTATTAGTTGTTAGTATTATTATTAATAATATTATCAATGTAGGATGTGCTGGCCTACAGAAAAAATGTCCAATCATGAAAACTATTTTTCTAAATTGCATCATCAAGCACGAAACGTTATCTGTCACAGGTGGTATATACCTCAAACCACTGGCAGCAGGGTTGCCATTTTTACAGCATGTTTATGTGCTGTATTATGATCATTCAAATGTTAATGAGAGTGGATATAATTTTTAATTTTAAAAATGCTTGATGTTTTTGTAGATGTTGACCCAATACCTGAAAAAAATGTCTCCAATCTTGTGGTGAACTTTGGCCCCCAGCATCCTGCTGCTCATGGTGTGCTAAGGCTAGTTCTTGAGCTTGGTGGAGAGGTAAGTAATGAGACTGCAGCATGCACAAATTTTATCCAATCGCATGATACATAGGTCAGGATGTTAACAAGCAGAGGAGGATTGTAGGCATGAAATTAAGTAGGATGTCAAATCGTAAACTTAATGCTTTCTTTCTTCCCCTAGATTAGATATCTAGGGCATTTAACACTACATAGACCCATTGC